CCAGGAGGATCTGTTTTCATCAACGACACACGATTTGGGTTATATTTTGTTAGTAGATGATAGTAGACTACATTATTCGGCTTATACACTCGTCTCGATCTCTGCGGACTCGTTGCGAGGGTGTGGGTCCCGCCAACATCTCACTTGTCACCAGGAGAATCTGTTTTTACCAACGACACACGATTTGGGTTATATTTCGTTAGTAGATGATAGTAGAATACCTTGCTTGGCTGATACACTCATCCCGTCCTCTGCGGGCTCGTTGCGAGGGTGTGGGTCCCGTCAACATCTCACTTTTCACCAGGAGGATCTGTTTTCATCAACGACACACGATTTGGGTTATATTTTGTTAGTAGATGATAGTAGACTACATTGTTCGGCTAATACACTCCTCTCGTTCTCTGCGGACTCGTTGTGAGGATGTGGGTCCCGCCAACATCTCACTTGTCACCAGGAGAATCTGTTTTTACCAACGACACACGATTTGGGATATATTTCGTTAGTAGATGATAGTAGACTACATTGTTCGGCTAATACACTCATCTTGTTCTTTGCCGACAAGTTGTGAGGGTGTGGGTCCCGTCAACTTCTCACTTTTCACCAGGTGGATCTGTTTACCAACGACACATGATTTGGAATAAATTTTGTTAGTAGATGATAGTAGAATACATTGTTTGGCTGATACACTCATCTTGTTCTTTGCAGACAAGTTGTGAGGGTGTGGGTCCCGATAACATCTTACTTTTCACCAGGAGAATCTGTTTTTACCAACGACACACGATTTGGGATATATTTTGTTAGTAGATGATAGTAGACTACATTGTTCGGCTAATAAACTCATCTCGTTCACTGCGGACTCGTTGTCTGACCTATTTTCCTCCGACCTCGTTTATATGCTGAAATTTGGAAAGAATGTGGTTAAAAGAGGGACATGATTCAGAGGCTATAGAGTGGGAAAGACCGCGAATATATTGGAGTGCAGCGCTACGTCATAGGTGCCTTAAGAGGAAAGAGACGTGACTAGGTGACCGTGACGGAGTACAGCGCCACGTCACAGGGGGCAGAGCGTTTAGGGAACGTGACGTGGCGTCTGTGACGAGGATTAGAGCAATGTCTCAGGCGACCGAGCGTGTAAGGGCGTGAGGGTACCGAGAAGGTGGGCGGAGCCACGTCACAGGGGGCATGGAGTGTAAGTGTCGTGACGAGGTACCTTTACCGTTTCTTCTTCGGCAAGTGCGTTTCGCGTTAGTGTCAGTGTGTTTGAGTGGCTTGAGTGCTCGCCTGGAGGGTAGGCCTTCGCAGGGCACCCTTCGCAGCCGTGTCAATGGGGTTGCCTACTCAAACTCAGACTGCAGAATCCCGCTACTCCACGAGCCCGGGCTGCTTCCGGCTACATCAGGAGTCATCTAGACACGGTTAAAACAATGTCTCATTTTTTGAGAGAAAAGGGAAAACTTTGAGGAGCTTATTTGGTTTAAGGAAACTTCCCCAGATTTTAAGAAGTCTCCTCAAAAAATGTCGGATTTATCCTCATTCTTTAAGGAGGTTCCTAAAAATCTAAGGCGAGATCTGAGGAGTGTTTCTGAAACATGGGAGGTCCTCAAAGTTTTCCCTTTATCCTCAAAAAATGAGACATTGTTTTTGCCGTGGAGGGTACGTCCGTCAGTTACCGTGACAAACCCGCCAAGTTACGCCTCCGCAAGCACTCATGGCGCCTGGTAGGTAGGCATCATCTTGCCTGCAGTGCATTCGTGTACTGCGCGGTGGCCTACGTTGAGTTTCGCAGGCGCCGAGCTCCTGTACCTTGCCTAATGAATCTGATTGGAATGGAGGTACTTATTGGACGCTCCCCTTCGACAGTCTCGTCTGTTCCCGTCGGTGTAGGTTAGATAGATGTTAATCCTATATCCACCATTCAGTATTAACCCGTGATCTTTCTGTTTTGTGTGATTGCATGCACATCGTCTGTCCTGTCACTGGAGTGCTGCTGACTGTGCTGACTG